AACGCCCTGTCCCTGGTTCTGGGGTGTCCCCACAATGTCCCCACATGTCCCCCTGTCCCCGCAGGCACTTCCCCCACTCCCTGTCCCTGGCTCTGGGGTGTCCCCGCAGTGTCCCCCCTGTCCCTGACTGTCCCCACATTGTCCCCACATGTCCCCCTGTCCCCGCAGGCACTTCCCCCACTCCCTGTGCTTGGCTCTGGGGTGTCCCCACGATGTCCCCCCTGTCCCTGACTGTCCCCACATTGTCCCCACATGTCCCCCTGTCCCCGCAGGCACTTCCCCCACCCGTACTACAGCCTTCGGCTGCACATCCCGGGCTCCAACTCCACGGGTCGGCTGCTGGTGCTGGACACGGTTCTGCTCTGCGGCCACACGGACGATTTCGGGGCGGGGGGAGCCCCGAGGGGCCCCCGGGACGCGGCGGCGGCGGCGGCTCAGCTGGGCTGGCTGCGGGGGCAGCTGGAGGGGGCGCGGGGGGCCCCGTTCGTGTTGGTGGCCGGGCACTACCCGCTCTGGTCGGTGGCCAAACACGGCCCCACCCCCTGCCTCGTGCGGCTCCTGCGGCCGCTGCTGCTCCGGCACCGGGTCAGCGCCTACCTGAGCGGCCACGACCACAACCTGCAGGTCAGGGGGGGGATGGGGGGGGCATGGGGGGGGGTACGGGGGGAGGGGACACTCGTGGGACCACCCCCGGGGCACCCAGTGGGGAGGGGACCCCCCAAAACCTGTCACTGGGGGATCCAGCTGGGAGGGGACCCCCCAAAACCTGTCCAGGGGGAGCTTGGGTGGGAAGGGATGGCTCATAGAACCACACCCAGGGCACTCAGGTGGGAGGGGACCCCCTGAAATCTGTTCAGGGGGGGACGGGGGGGGGAGGGGACCCCCCAAAACCTGGCCTGGGGGATCCAGGTGGGAAGGGACACCCCTCAGATTTACCCCTGGGTGTCCAGGTGGGAGGGGACCCCCCAAAACCTGTCCAGGGGGGAACTCAGGTGGAAGGGGACCCCCCAAAAACCTGTCCAGGGGGGGACTCGGGTGGGAGGGGACCCTCGTAGAATCACCTCCGGGGGACCCAGCAGGGAGGGGACCCCCCAAAACCTGT